ACAGAGGATGGAGGCCTGTGGAAGCCTGGCATGGCACATTCTGTGTGGAAAGCTGCCTGGTGTGACTGCTGGCACCTGTGCTCTGTGCCCTCTTCTTTTTTTCCTGCTCCTTACCCAGAAAGATGATACTGGATGACTCTCAGGCAGTTAGTTTTGTGTTTGAACAATTCTTGGTTATTATCATCAAATATCTTTTTATAAAGTTTCTGTTTACCTGGTAAAACAAAGAAGGAGTTGCAAAACCTTCTGAAGACTTAGAATGAATATGCTGAGAGTAACTAGTGTTTATAAACAGAGGAATGATAAATATAACAAATTAATAGGTAGAGAAGGGTATCCTTCTCATGTGTGTGTCTTTTAGAAGGCCTTGTAGCATCCTGGGATTATAGAGGGGAGGGAATGAAAAGATCTGGTGGCTTTGTCTCTGTCTGACCATAGTTTTTTTTTTTTTTAAATAACATCCACCTCTGTCTACTAACTGCATTTTGTTATCATCAATGATACTCTGTTCCATTTGGATAGATTAATAAAATATGAATATTCTCTAATCTTTCTGTCACTTTCAGGAACCCCTTCCTGAAACAGGATAGAAATAAGTGTCTACCTTCACCACTAGCCTGGACAGCCCTGGATGGATGCTAGAGTTGGTCCCTGGAATATTCACTACCCACTCACCTTTTCCTCAGTGTCTTTCTCCTTCTCTTTCTCCTCCTTCTCCTCCTCCTCCTCCTCCTCCTCCTTCTTCTTCTTCTTCTTCTTCTTCTTCCTCTTCCTCTTCTGACTATTTGATAATATGTTTGCACAGGCCCTAGGAGAGTTAAATAATTTGATAATGAAATAAGATTTTATGAGACTCTTGACCTAGCATCTCTACACACTTATCTACTTCTTTTAATGGCACCTTCTTACTAATCTTGAAATCCTGAAATCTCCTAGAGTGTTTATATCTTCCTGTTCCCTTTTCCTCACATCTATTGGGGTGCCAAGCCACCCAAATAATAATAATAATAATAATAATAATAATAATAATAATAATATAATAATTATTATTATTTGGGTGAAATAATTATTTCATATAACTGCCTCTGTGATTTGGACTGAGTACCATGTTTCCTGATGGGCATGGTGAGAATATCTGTGCCACAAGGTTGTTTGGAGAAAGGAACAGAATACTGTATAGAGAATGATTAGAAAGTGTCTGGTACATAACAGGTGTTACAGAAGTGTGAGCTAAGAGTATTGTTGATAGCTTCCTTCATTCCTTTGCCAGAGGTACCATCTCCAAACATTGCTTTCATCAGGCCATACTCCTGCTCAAATCCTGAAGTCTCCCCATTGTTTAGTTAGCATTGTCCCTAAAGTGAGCATGCAAGGCAAAGTGCCAGAGTGTGGTAAGAGAATCTTAAGATTTCTTGCATATTTTTCTCACATTCTTTTATATTTTCTATTTTTTGAGTATGTTTTATTCTGTATATTTATGAGAAAGGGTACATATTCAACATTTAAAAATGTATAAAATACAAGTGTATTCTTTTATAAATAAATGATAATCATCTGTTGGTATGTGGAAAAATATGTTACTGATAGAATAGGGCAAGCAACCAAGTTTGGAGACCCCCTGTAAGATGAGATTCAGATTCCCATGCATGTCATTTCTCTGTGACTGGCCCTAGACTGTGGCCACCGACTTTCCTCCTAGTGTCCCTCCTGTGACCCTCCTTCTCTCTCCTGCTCCTCTCTTATGCCTTTCAATTTCTATGTTATTGTGTATCCTCTTTCCCTGTTCCTCCAATATCCTCTTTCATTCTCTCATTGTCTTTTTTAATCCAGAAGTTCACCTTAAATGCTACTTGTTCCTTTGAGCCTGCCAGGACAATTCTAGCTTGAAATGTTTCCTCCAAGATTTGTAAATGTTCTCTGTTAGTACTATTCACTTGTCCCCTGTTTTTCTGTGTTGTGTTGAGATCTTTTGCAATGTTACTTTTTTGGTTGTATAGTTTGGTTATTGTTAATTCTTACTGGACGTGCCTTTAAATTATATTTCACTTGCTAACTTTATTTTGAGCTGTTTTGTCATTTCTCTCATTTATCATTTATTCAAGACACGTACCTTTACTTTTTAGATGACATTAATATCTTTTTTATCATGGTAATATATAATTCCTTAAGGAAAAGATTCATTTGTTAAATTTGTGATCTGCAAAACCTTGGATTTGATAGCATGCTTCAGCTTGAGGCAGACATTTATCTACAGTGCATTAATGAACATTTTTGAATGTAGATTCTTTATTTTCTTTTACTCCCAGTTCTATAAAAATCACAATCCATGTGTTTAATGCCCTTCTTTTAGCAGTTATAGTCCTAGTTCTATTTGGCCTCCTAGGGTGGTCATTCTTGTGAGGAAAGCTGGGTGGCGTGCAGAGCAGATCCATTCAATCTAGTTCTCCCTCCTCAAACATGCTAAAAAAGGCTGTTTTATCAGCCAAGCTTTTCCAGTTTGTGATAGCAGTGTGTAGATCATTGTAGATGTTATTGGACTTGGAGTCAGAAGACACAGGTTTAAATCTTGATTCCATGACCTGTTGGTTGTTTGAACTTGACCAAGTCATTTAACCCTCATCTGAAATGTAAAGTTAATAATCTCTGTGTCAGAATTATAAGGATTGATTGAGATAGTGTCTATGAATGTGCTATGTACTTGGGAGATTGTTCATAAGTGTTTGTTTAAAACAAAAGAAGAAATAAGAGTCTCCCCTGTCTTCTGTGGACCTTCTGAAACAGAGTATATCATGAGAAACTGACAAACAGATTCAGAGAGTGTGCCAAACTTAGGCTTGAGACTGAAGGCTGAGTGTTGAGTTGGCCTGGTTTCTGACTTGTCTCTACTAGAATGTCTGTGGCTTTCCCAGAGAGTATGAAGATTAATTAGTTAATCTTTGTAAAGTGCTTTGAAGGTGAAAAGTGCTACATAAGTGGAATGGTTGAATTGCTATTGGAGATGTAATAATGGTGGCACCATATTCTGCATTCTTGCCTGTCTTGACATCAGTAATCAATAAGAGAAAGTTCTAAGATGTTTTGCTTAATGTGAAAGAAGGCTTTCATTGTGTGATTGTGATAACACACTTCTTCTTGTAGTCTTGCACATAGCAGCTTTCTATTTCTTCCCAGCTGAGGAATGCTAGGGTCATTTAAGAAGCAACAGTCTCATCCTTTGGCTTCTTGGGAATCTCTGGCTAAGGCAGTCTGATTATAAATCCTAGCCAAGCTTAGGTAGAGGGATAGTTTGCCAGTTTTGGATGCTTCCTGGGTCCTTGGCACCTGATTTTTTTCAGTCTAATACTGCATAAATAGAGAAAGAGTGTTGTGTGATTATACAGTGGCATGGATCAGTGTGAATAACTGATGCAGAGTGGTACCATGGGTTAGTTGAAAGAGATGTGGCTAGCTGTGTGTCCCTAAGCAGGTCACTTTTCTGAGCCTTTTAAATGGCAGCATAGTTGTTGAATACAATACCAAAGGTGGCTAAAAGGAGGGTGAGTTTCATCCTTTCTTGGAAGATTTTGGGAGCTAAGAAAGTTTTCATAGAATTAGTGGTACATAAGCTGGACTCTAAAAGTTGATTCATGGTTTACCAGGTAAGGAAGGGGTATCTGTAGCATAAGGAATAGCACATGCTGATGCATGAAATAGCACATCTGAGTGGACTCACTTCCAGTTCTCATAATATTACCAGACACCCTGTGGGCTGCATAGGCTTTGTTCTGAGGAAGCCCAGGAGTCAGATTCCAGTGAATTCCTTAGTATGTACTTTAGTGTCTACAAGCATGTTAAACCTGAGAATTATATCCCTGCAGAGCCCTGTATCCCTGTGATATTTCCTTCATGAATCTATGGTAGTTTTTTAGCCAACACTATGAACCATTTGTTGAATGTGGGCCAGATGAAGCTTTGATATCAAACACAGAGTATGTAGTAGATTTGTCTAGAATTTAATATGCATTACTTTGTGTTTTGTCTCTTAAGCAAAATTTTTCTTTGTTAAAATAAACATGTATAAAGAATTTACACAGCGCACATGGTTATGCATATTTATTGCAGAGAATCTGTTAATAATCTATGCCTCATTGGATTTTGATTTCTGTTGAAATAACAAATGTGGCATTTGGCACAACTGAATAAGTTTGGTGAATTTTCTCTTATCTGGGAAAAGAAAGGCCATTTCTTCTTCTTCAAACTTCATTTTCTTTTATCTATAGCACTGGCTAGCATCCTGAGTGGTAATGGGGAACTGAATGCTTTTATGGCTCCAAATAATTTTGTCTTTTTAATTTTTTCTCCTTTCTTCTGTTATTCCCTTAACTCAAGTACACATAGACACTTGTCTTGGGACTGTTAGAATTGCTTCTGTATTTTGAACCTCTTAAGAAGTTGGATTTGATAGCATGCTTCAGCTTGGGTGGGAACACAGACTCTTATGTGGAGGGAAAAATGGAGAAAGAAAAAACAAAGAAACTGGCTATTAATTGAGTTAGGAGGAAAGCCTTAACAAATTGTGGTGTGGGGAACTTCAGTGGGGGTGAAGGACTCTGGGTTAGGTAGAAGGGACAAAAGCCTCAGAACAGGCATCTGTGCAAAGCTTGAGGAGGGTGCAAAGAAGAGGAGAGGTGGATAGGCTGTGAGAGTGGTTGAAGTTGATCTGTAGTAATATTCAAGGGTATATCTATATTCAATGCAAGAGCACAGGCTTTAGAATCATCCTCTGATTCTTGCTCTGTGCTCACCACTTACTTGATATTTGGCAAGTCATTTAACCTTTCAGTTTCCACATCTGTAAAAGTTTAAATACTTGTACTTTCTTTACAGGAAGATAGGAAGGCTTTTGGTACCTAGTAGTTGGTGCTAATGTAAATATTCACACTTCCTCTAGTAATTCATAACCTACCCATGAAATCACAGCCCTGGAATGAAGCCTTAATTCAAATAATGTTTATTTTTAGAAACCGGCAAGGTGTTCACCTGGGGCCGAGCAGACTATGGTCAACTAGGGAGGAAATTGGAGTCTCATGATAGCTGGAAACTAGAAAAACAAGATTCATCCTTCCCTTGCTCGAGACCACAGAACAGCCCACCTTCATCTCTGCATTGCCTTACAGGAGCAACTGAGGTAGGAAGTGACTTCTCACATACAAATGTCTCTTTTCCTTGTTTTTCTTTAAAGTGTTTACAAAGGGCCTACTGTGTGTCATGCATTATGATTGATTCCATGTAGAAACCTAAAGTGGCTTCCCCAAGGAGCTCATGGTTTAATATGTTAGAAAAGTCTATTCCCCAGTTACCCAGGTGATTACATCATAAGGCAGACTGTGTGTAACTCTTCTAAAGAGGTTAAAAATACAATATTTTGGGTCTACTATGAGGAGTGGGAAATGAATTCTGGGTACAGGGGTTGGCTTGATCTTAGAGAATGATATGGCTTTGAGCTGTTCTGTGGAGGATGGTTCAGACTTGAGCAAACACTTGGAAGAGAGGAGAAGACTTTTAGTTGGGTGCAACAGCAGGAACAGAATCATAGGGGTAGGAATGTGAAGAAAATGTTTTGGGGTCACTGGTGGTTAAATTTGGCTGAAGCATGGGGCAATTACGAGGTAATATCAGAAAGATGGGTTGGGACCTGATGCGGGGGGCGGCTTTAATACTGAGCTAAATATTTTGCACTTCTGTTTATATTTCCCAGTATACAAAGCATTGTACTTCAGTTGCTTATTCAAGCCCCTTTGGTTCTCTAAAATGGCTTGAATTTCTGCATTTAAGGCAGGAGGCTTAATTTCTCCAGGGTGCATGTTTCTGTTACTAAATTTTACTTTACTGCTTTAAAGAAAGGCTAGTTTTTTGAGAGGAATGGCTATGCAGGAAATATGCCTCTGAACCCAGGTTGGTTTAATGAAGGAATTTAGCCTTCATTCAGATTCTGTCAAAAAATTAATAAGCTAGTGAGACTTCTGTAATTAGCATCAGACTAATTACAACCCTTTCCATACCTGGAGGGCTTCCCTTCCCCTGGGGACTGCTTGGCCTCCTCCTTCCGGGTATGTAGGACGATTCTCAATTTCTACTTCACATCCCAGCCCTGGTTCTCCTGGGTGTTTCTTAGTGTTAGGTTGAGTCTGCCTTTACTTCCTTTCTCTTTCTCTTTGACTGAAAGATACTAAATAACACCACAAAGACAGTTTATACAAGGTAATAGTAATAATAAACCCTCCCAAAATCTTACCACCTTTACATAGCTACATTCTTTTTTGCATTTACACATATGTATACTCCAAAAATTGTAATGATAATCTTCATTATTTTGTCAAAAATTCTTTGCTTTGTTTCCTCTTGGTCTTTAAAATGATCATTTAAAATGGCTATATCACATTACTTGATCAGAAGGTTGTGAGATTTTCTAAGCCATTCTTTGGGTGTTGGATATTTACATCATTTTCTCTTTTTAATTTTTTAGTTTTTAATAACTATTGTGAACCCTGCAGTGAATTCCTGTTGAACTCTTTCTTTAAGATAGGATCTTGGTAGAGCATTAATAACAAGGATATATAAAGAACTCATAAAACTTAGGACTGGGATGTAGCTCAGTTGGTAGAGTGCTTGCCTCCAATGCACAAGGCCCTGGGTTCAATCCCTAGCACCAAAACAAAAAACAAAACAAAAAACCAAAACAAAACAAACAAAAAAACCTTAATGCCAAAAAAAAAAAAAAATCCCCACATAATTCAATCAATAAATGGGCAAAGGAACTGATCAGACACTTCACAGAAGAAGAAATACAATTGATCAACAAATATATGAAGAAAGTTTAACATCTCTAGCATTTAGAGAAATGCAAATCAAAACTACACTGAGATTCCATCTCACTCACAAATGGCAATCATCAAGAATACAAGCAAAAATGAGTGTTGGAGAGGATGTGGGAAAAATGGTACAGTCATATATTTCTGGTGGGACTGCAAATTGGTGCAACCATTATGGAAAGCAGTATGGAGATTCCTAAGAAAACTTAGAATGGAACAACCATTTGACACAGTCATCCCACTCTTAGATTTATACCAAGGACTTAAAATCAGCCTTAAAGAAGAATGAAATTATGGCATTTTCCAGTAAATGGATGGAACTGGAGAGTATCATGCTAAGCAAAATAAGCCAATCCCAAAGAACCAAAGGCCAAATGTTTTGTCTGATATGTGGATGCTAATTCTCTGATATGTGGATGCTAATTCACAATAATCACGTGGGAGAATAGAGGTAATTTGGACTAGACAGAGGGGAGTGAAGAGAGGGGTAGGAATGATAGTAGAATGAATCATATACTTATTACTCTATGTGCATATATGATTATGTGACTGTTATAACTCTATATCATGTACAACCAGAAAAATAAGAAGTTATAGTCCATTTATATATGTGTCACAGTGCATTTTTTTTTTTTTTTTTGTGGTGCTGGGGATTGAACCCAGGGTCTTGTGCATGTAAGGCAAGCATTCTACCAACTGAGCTATATCCTCAGCCCTTGTCACAGTGCATTCTACTGTCATGTATAACTAATTAGAACAAATAATAAAAAAAAGAATTATTCTTCATCTTACCAGAAGAACCAGAGATTCAAAAACTTTATGACTCCCTGTGCCTCTGCTACCTAACCTCAAAGTCTCAAATTACCTACCCATGAAAGCATCCATTTACTGGAAAATACCATAATTTCATTCTTTTTTAAGGCTGAGTAATATTCCATTGTATATATACCACAATTTTTTTTAATGAGGTAACTTTTTTCATAGCTTTATTTTATTCATTTATTTTTTATGTGATGCTAAGGATTGAACCCAGGGCCTCACATGTGCTAAGCAAGTACTCTACCACTGAGCCACAACCCCAGCCCATCCACAGTTTCTTTATTCATTCATCTGTTGAAGGGCATCTAGGGTGGTTCCATCATTTAGCAATTGTTAGTTGAGCTGACATAAACATTGATGTGGTTGCATCACTGTAGTATGCTGATTTTAAGTCCTTGGGGTATAAATCTAAGAGTGGGATGACTGTCAAATGGTGGTTCCATTCTAAGTTTTCTTAGGAATCTCCATACTGCTTTCCATAATGGTTGAACCAATTTGCAGTCCCACCAGAAATATACGAGTGTACCATTTTTCCCACATCCTCTCCAACACTCATTTTTGCTTGTATTCTTGATGATTGCCATTTGTGAGTGAGTGAGATGGAATCTCAGTGTAGTTTTGATTTGCATTTCTCTAATTGCTAGAGATGTTAAACATTTCTTCATATATTTGTTGATTGATTGTATTTCTTCTTCTGTGAAGTGAAGAATAGTTCTTAAGATATACCTTATGTAATAATACATATTAGGGAGAATAGCATGCATAGTTCTTGGCCTGAAGTAGGTACTCAGTAATTATTGGTTCTGTTCTCTTCTGCTTTGAGAGCTTTTGATGTCTTGAGGTGGCCACAATGTGCAGTACTGTGACAGATGTGGTCAGTGTAAACATGTAGCCTAAGAATCTAATGGGTGTGTCTTTTATGTGGCTTCTTAGTGGAGCAATATGGGAGTGGGTTTGTGCTTCAGTCCTCTTGGCAGCTTCATTTTAATGTTTGCCTCCTCTTTTCCAGTGTCTGGGGTGCTGGTATTTATACACTGGTCTCCCTGTAGATTTAAACTCCTGGCTATTACCCATTGGTAAATTTGGTTTGGGAGTTATATCCAGTTGTTGATACCTAAGTCTGGCCCATTGAGCATCCATTTTTCTGAGGACCAGAGAGAGCCAGACCAGTGGGATTTTATAAGCTGGTGGAGTGGGTTCACCTTGGAAAAGATAAGAGCCATATTAAACTAGATGCTGCCCTGGTTGGGAAATATAGGGATCCCTGGGGAAGCAGGAACAGCCTTGGGCTAAGCTGACAATTCGTGACTTTTAAGCACTTGTGTGGAACATAGCTGACCAGTTGAGTTTAATTTGCATTAATTGCCTTTAATATCCAAGGAGTAAGGATCTGGGATCTCAGATGGAATGTCTACTGGTCCAGAGTGACAGCCAAGTAGAAAGGTGAACTGAGCTGGGATATGGTATAACCTTTCTTTCCCCTGATAAAAGAAAGCAAATAAATACAGAGCTACTCAGTGCTTATCATGGGTCAATGTACTAAATACTTTATACATATTATTTCACCTTTATAATAAACCTTTGTGCATGTGTTAAGATCATTGCTTTCCCTCTTAAAACTGCTTTCATTGTGTCCCATAGATTCCGGTATATTGTGTCTGTATTGTCGTTTATCTCTAAGAATTTTTTTATTTCCTCCTTTATGTCTTCTGTAACCCATTGATCATTCAGTAACATATTGTTCATTTTCCAGGTGATACAGGATTTTTCCTTCCTTCTTTTATCATTGATTTCCAGTTTCATTCCATTATGATCAGATATGGTGCATGGTGTTATCTCCACACCTTTATATTTACTAAGAGTTGCCCTATGGCATAATATATGGTCTATCTTTGAGTAGGATCCATGTGCTGCTGAGAAGAACGTGTATCCACTTGATGATGGTTGATATATTCTATATATGTCGATTAAGTCTAGGTTATTGATTGCGTTATTGAGTTCTATAGTTTCTTTATTCAGGTTTTGTCTAGAGGATCTGTCTAATGGCAAGAGCGGTGTGTTGAAGTCACCCATAATTATTGTGTTGTGGTCTATTTGACTCTTGAACTTGAGGAGAGTTTGTTTTATGAACGTTGCAGCACCATTGTTTGGTGCATACAAATTGATAATTGTTATGACTTGTTGGTGGATGGTTTCTTTTAACAGTATATAGCGTCCTTCTTTATCCCTTTTGATTAACTTAGGTTTGAAGTTGATTTTATTCAATATGAGTATGGCCACTCCTGCTTGCTTCCGAGGGCCATGTGAGTGGTATGATTTTTCCCAACCTTTCACCTTCAGCCTGTGTATGTCTTTTCCTATCATATGAGTCTCCTGAAGGCAGCATATTATTGGATTTGTTTTATTAATCCAGGTTACTAGCCTATGTCTCTGATTGGTGAATTTAAGCCATTAACATTTAAGGTTACAATTGAAATATGGTTTGTACTTCCAGTCA